CCAGTTTAATGTAGGACTGACAAGATGCCAACAAACGTAGAAACCATTCAAGTTAAAATCAGTGGATATCAATACCTTTTTTGGTTACCACGGCAACAAAAATAATTCCTAGACACCTAATACTGGCCAATTTTTGGTCTTTTATTACCAATGTGTTTAGTCTTAAAGGAGCAATCTGTAATATATTCGCCTAGTGAAATGATAAAGTGAGCTTACTATATGATCAGACATTAAGAAACATGCCATGTTGAAGTGCTGGCTTCTCTGACAACAATGCAGCAGCCAGTATGTCCTCCTTCTAACTTTAGATTCTGGTCCTGAATGCTCTGGATTTGTTTGGACCAGAGAAGGTAGGCGCTTTTAAGGCGACCCCCCCGCACGGCCGTTTTGGACACCCCTCGTTTGCCAGATATGAGAGCAGTTATCAGGTCAAACCAACAGGTGTTGCAGCGATGGAAGCGGGCAAGAGAACTGGTTCAGATAGAAGTGACACGTTAAAAGTTTTGAATCTGTTTTTCTCTCAGAGCTCTCTCAGAAAGTCTCATCACACCGCTCGAGTTAAAGATGGAGGAGTGGAAAAAAGCGGCCAGTCAGCTGGACAAAGACCACGCCAAAGGTATGCCAACATGCAAACACGCACACACACACACACATTAATGACTTGTATAGAAACAAACCATCCCTCACTGACGTCTCATTTCTGTTGTGTAGAGTACAAAAGGGCCAGAGCGGACATCAAGAAGAAATCCTCAGACACAATCAAACTGCAGAAGAAGGTGAAGAAAGGTAAGAAGAACATGTGTGGGGCTCGAGCAGCAAATCCATCTCACATCCAGCAGGTTTAAATCAGCACTGAAACGTAAACACTGAACCAAAAGTGTCATTTAAGTGATATTGTCGTGCAATCAAAGAAGAGCAGTGTGTGAGTGTTTTTACAGAAGCTGAAGCTTGTTTTCTTCTCCAGGTGAAGATACCTTCTTAGCGTTAAAACCATCTTCTACAGAGTGAGATAATCCTTCATAGTAAACATGCAGAGGCTGTTTGATCCCATCCTCACTGTGCGGAGATTTCAGATCTGAGCTGCTGTGTTGTGTTACGCTCCGTCTCCTGTCAGTCTCCCGACACCCAGAGGCAAAAAGTAATCCCTCTGAAACGTGTTTCTCTGACGACGTCACTGACACACATTTTTACTCAGTTTTGGTTTGAAGTCAGGAAAGAAGGTTTCTCTTTTTTCTTTATTGTTGGTTTGAAACTAAGCTATCTCTGCCGATCAGAGATGAATAATCTTTCTATTTCTTCTCTAGTCTCCTGAGGTAAGAAGTGACAAAGCAACTGAGGGCCAGATTTACTAAGCTCCCAATTAAAGAGTACTAAATTGCGTGTTCACTCCAAAAGTTTGCACGTTTGGTTGCTGGATGTTTTGCGGGTGATCTACTAAGAAAATTTGCGTGAATGACAACAGGTGCAAACCTTGTGGAGGCGGTTTTTGATTGTTCTACTGGTTTACATCACGGAGAGTTTGGACAGAAAGCAGGATGACTCCAAGCGCAAAATATGTATTAGTGGGAGAGGCAAATAAACGCTAAAAAATACTTTCAAGTTATAGGAGATAAATCTGAATATTACAAAGAAGCAGCGGGCTTTAGCGGGAGGAGACGAGCAGACCAGAGGGGGGGAGTTGGGGGAGAGACGTGCAACCTGAGAAAAAGGAAATCCCCAGTTTAAAATGTAATGTTGGAGAAAAGAGGGAAATAGGAAGACATAAATGTCAGTGTTGAAATTCTATAGAATGCAGAGGCTGTGAATGTTCAGTTTTCTTTGGCTATATATATATGGCAACAATATCCTGTAGTTTCATCATGGTGTTTCTCTTCCTTAACGATTAGAATATTAAATCAAATGAAAAAATAAATGCATGCCATTTATTTATTTACCTAACTTAAAAAATAAATGCATGCCATTTATTTTTCTGTCATTTGAAAGATGTAAACACGTGGGGAAAAACGGGATCTTTATGCCTTCTTTTGTTGTTCCTATGTCTCCTCCTAACTTCAATAACAGCAGCCTGTTGTGCGCAACGCTGGTCTCCTGGGTTAACACGTTCTTTTCAAAGGTGTTAAATTCAGACACCGTCACGATCACCGCAATTTTTGTCAGGTTTGGTAAATCACAATGCGTGTACTAACTTAACTTGTTTGCATTTTCTCCTCCCAGTATTTTGCACTTTAGGGCAGATTCGCCCCATATTGCATATTCATTAAGGCAAACGGACTAAATGGTCAATGCGTGTTGTTTTGCTCATTTGAAAGACGCAATCCTCACTGCATTAGTAGATCAGATAGCACTTTTTTTGCTGGTGGTATCAAGTTTGCACACGTTTTAAGACACGCAAGCCTTTAGTAAATCTGGGCCTGAGACCGCTATATGACGCTATACTGAGAATATTTGTCTTTATATCAATGCTACGTGTAGTTGAACGTAATCACAATCTGAGCTAAAGAGTGGAGAACAGAAAACGTCACTCCCTTTTCATCTTTAATGTTTGTGACTCTTCAGTTTACAAAGACTATCAGTGCAGATCTCGCTCTGTTGTAACCTAGGCAGACTGCCAGCTACTCACCTGGGCCGCACCTATCTCTGCTATCAGAGTGACACACCCTGTGGTTGCCATGGTTTCACCTAGCCTCCCTATCCCATAATCAAAGAGACCGAAGGCTCGCCAAGAGAGACGACAGATCGACTTAAACGGTAGAAATAGAACAGAAACGCCCAAACACGAGCACACAAACACACATTTATACATGTGTAAACACACACACACACACACCACAATCAAAATGTAACCTCGAGGCCCTTACACAAATGTCCTCCCTTCTCTTCTGTGTCTGTGCAAATCCACAGACACAGAAATAGTCTCAACACACACACACACACACACACACACACACACACACACACACACACACACACACACACGGTCTCAGACACGCCCATGGTACACAGAGTGATTTCTGATGTGGCTTTAACATCTCTGAACACGTTTTTCTTCTGTGGATCTTTTTTCTTTCTTTCCTCACTCAGGTCAATTTTTCATCAGAACTCCTAAAACCTTAAACAACTTCATTAGAAATAATCTAAATATTTGTAAAAAGTCACTTTGCGTCTAAAACATCTGGATAAATAACACATTGTGATATCCCTCAGATAGATAGGTAGATATTTTATTGAGCTTGAGGGAAATTCAAAGATTATCTGATCAGTGTCTGTCAGCGCCCTCCTTTAAGAAAATTAAACTCATCAGGATTAAATCAACAACCAATCAGGGCAAGCTTTCACTTAACCAGCCAATCACGGTGATTCTTGTGAATGTTGGTGTTGCAGACTTGCTATAACAGACAGATAGATAATACTTTATTCTCAGACGTAGTCTGACATTTGCCTTGCGTCACAACGGCTCTGTTTGCGGCACAACAATTAAGACAGGAAACAAAGATACAAACATTTGACACAACACTCAAACACAACACAACACTCCAGATATAAACATTAGAAACAACACTCAAACGCCAAACAAATGCCCAGAGGCCCTAAACGTGCTTTGGTCGAGGATTCAGCTCCACATTCAATTTTAGGATTGATTGGTGAACAAAAGAGTGTTTCAGTCTGACCTGTGCAACAACGTTTGGAATGTTCATGTTGCTAAGTGCCACTTCAATGTTCCCCAACAAACTTGAATCACTTTTATGGACTACAGATTAGCTTTAGCTGTTGTGCTAATCCTGGCACATTAACCTGTAATGCTAATATTTGAATATTAATGTGCTCCGTTTTAATGAAGTTAATTCAATAAATACCTACCCCCCCTCCCCGTGATGAAACGTGATCTATATATATATATATTTAAAACTGACTTTAAAGGTTTAATCATAGAACAGCTTTTCTTTGATTTCACTTCAACTTAAGTTTGTCTAACCGGATCTTGAATATATCATAGTAAGAATGAAGGATTATTTTCTGTTTTGTATTCATATAAAGTCAGGAGAAAATTCAAAAAAAAGAAGTTTAAATATCTAAAAAACTGAACAAGACAATGAAAGAACTGATGAGTATCTGTAGATGTTTTTGAGGACTGCAGGACTGCCACGCTTAAAGAGACAGAGCCTCAGCTTCACATGTTGTCACCACGGAATGATACACACACGAACACACACCATTTCCCCTCACAGTGAACCAAAACTGTTTCTGCACTCTCACCAATCAAGACCTCACATGGTAATTGTCCTGCTCTACACAAGTGTGTGTGAGTGTGTGAGTGTGTGTATGTCAGTGCGTGTCCTATAATCAGTAAGGACAGACGGAGAATAAACGGTCGTAGCTGTTGTGGGTTAAAGAAAACTTCTCCAAACACAAGTCATTTTCTCTCTCTGCCGTCGACTCTTTGTTCAGCTCTTGTCAGATCATAATGAATCTCTTTATTACATAAATTGTTTGATTCAATGAGACCGAGTTAATCAAACTCCTAGTTTGTTTTCATCAAAGTTACATTTTGCATTTTTAATGCTCTATTTTTAACAACTGATTTTCTGTTTTCAAATCTGCAAAAAATCACAAACTCAGGTTTAGTACCAGATTTAGGTAAACAAACAAACATAAGAGACTGAGTTCACCTCAGTTCAGTCTCATTGGACAGAAACATCGGCAGTTTACTGTTTCAATGAAAGACAAGATAAACATCTGGGGCATCACTAATGCTTTCGTGTGTGTGTGTGTGTGTGTGTGTGTGTGTGTGTGTGTGTGTGTGTGTGTGTGTGTGTGTGTGTGTGTGTGTGTGTGTGTGTGTGTGTGTGTGTGTGTGTGTGTGTGTGTGTGTGTGTGTGTGTGTGTGTGTGTGTGTGTGTGTGTGTGTGTGTGTGTGTGTGTGTGTGTGTGTGTGTGTGTGTGTGTGTGTGTGTGTGTGTGTACTCTGTCATTATGCGGTGTGTGTGACCACTTCAGATTGGGAATCTCCAGCTTCTTAGAAAGACAGATTAATGACAAGAAGAAGAGCACAGCTCATCAGGAGGTTTTCTCCTTTACTTATTATCTTTTCTCATTATTTGTTTTTTTTTGTTTAAACGATCGGACACACTGGATTCTCTGAAGAAATATTTCCTCCTGAAAAAACAAAGTTAGCTACCGACCTGTTCCTGCATAGGCTGCATAGAGAAGAGGAAGAGGTGTAGGACAAGACAACTATGGAGGGAGGAGTTGAAGTCATCCTCTCCATGACTTGGCAGCGGTCACTGTGGTTAGAAACATTAAGCGAGGAGAAGAGAGGAGGAGGGAAACAAGAACTCCCATGTTTATAATGACAGAGACATAAAAAGGAGATGAAAAACTGGAAAGAGGAGTAGAAAGATGTTTGAAATGGAAGAAAAGATGATCTTTGTCATTATGCGGTGTGTGTGACCACTTCAGATTGGGAATCTCCAGCTTCTTAGAAAGACAGATTAATGACAAGAAGAAGAGCACAGCTCATCAGGAGGTTTTCTCCTTTACTTATTATCTTTTCTCATTATTTGTTTTTTTTTGTTTAAACGATCGGACACACTGGATTCTCTGAAGAAATATTTCCTCCTGAAAAAACAAAGTTAGCTACCGACCTGTTCCTGCATAGGCTGCATAGAGAAGAGGAAGAGGTGTAGGACAAGACAACTATGGAGGGAGGAGTTGAAGTCATCCTCTCCATGACTTGGCAGCGGTCACTGTGGTTAGAAACATTAAGCGAGGAGAAGAGAGGAGGAGGGAAACAAGAACTCCCATGTTTATAATGACAGAGACATAAAAAGGAGATGAAAAACTGGAAAGAGGAGTAGAAAGATGTTTGAAATGGAAGAAAAGATGATGGATGATGTACTCATTCTCAAAAGGTTGAGTTAAAGAAGAGAAGAAGGGGGGGTGTTGGAAGGGAAAAAAAGATGGTGTCATGATTCTAAAAAAGAGAAAGAAGAAACGGATAACAAAGGAAGAGGAGAAGACAACACAAGAGAAGCATGGAGGAGGTTAAAAGAGGACGAAGAGAAGCTGGGAATAAAACGAGGGAAAAGCAAAACAGAAGAGGTCAGATGGAGAGAGGAGGAGATAAGAGGAGAAGAAAAGAGGACAGAGAGGAGGAGAGAAGAGGACAGAGAGGAGGAGGAGGAGAAGAAAAGAGGACAGAAGAGGACAGCGAGAAGGAGAGAAGAGGACAGAGAGGAGGAGAGAAGAGGACGGAAGTGGACAGAGAGGAGGAGAGGAGAGGAGGAGATTAGGAGAGGAGAGAAGAGGACAGAGAGGAGGAGAGAAGAGAACAGAGGAGGAGAGAAGAGGACAGAAGTGGACAGAGAGGACGAGAGAAGATGAGAGAGAGGAGGAGATGAGGAGAGAAGAGGACAGAGGGGAGGAGAGAAGTGGAGAGAGGGGAGTCGTGGGGTTAAAGGAGGTCGAGTTCATCACATGCTGACATTTAAATCTGCAGGCTCTTTTTGCACACAGCTGCTCCGTGTCTCGACCTTCTGCAGAAAGCTCCACGTAAACTTGTTGATCGTGTTAGCTACCCCATCACCTGTCTGACATTGATGACATCATCACTGTGTGACTCAGACGGTCTAGACTGCTGGATGAATGAGCCATTAAAAGCAGCAGGTTACATTAAGACGATGTAAATAAGAGATCAGCTGTTTGGAGGTGTGAGTCATGATGGTTAAAAACAAAGTTGAAAAAGTGCATCAGAAGGATCTTTAAAGGTCCCGACTATAGGTGATAGGTGATTAATGTGGTGAGTCGTCTGGACCCACAGGTGGTGATTAGAGTCAGTCCCATTGAGATCAAATGGGTGTTGCTTGTTTGACAGACGATGTGGTATGGGATGTGAAAGCCACGGCAACAAGAGAAGCCCACCTTCTCATTTGTTGTGGACACGTTACGTTGCATTGATTGACTTAAATCAGAATAGGGCTGAATGTGTGTTAGCTTTTCAGACTGTTTTGAATATTTTCAGCAAAGTCAGACACATCAGAGTCTGCAGAAAAAGACCCATGATCTCTTTCTCCAAGTCTCACAGAGCGACTATAAAGGAACCTCCAAACCTTTTTGGAAACACTACACACACACACGCACCCCGCACACACGTTGTTTTTACAGAACATTTCTCAGCTGGTGAGAATCAGCGCCGCCTGAACTGTGTTTCACCTTTAAACGGACTGAATGAGTCCACTCTGCACACAGCCGAGCGTCCAGTCCTGCTCTTTGTGTTTTTGTGGGTGGCGTGCCAGAGTCTTGTAGAAACAGTCTGACAACACACGGCCTGTGTGTGTGTGTGTGTGTGTGTGTGTGTGTGTGTGTGTGTCAGTGTGTGAGTGTTTCCACAGAGGCCAGACATCAGACAGACTAACGCTGACACTGAGCTTCTTTTAGCAGCGTGAAAATAACCCTCTGTACTCTCCATGCTCCTACACACACACACACACACCTGAGAAGGGATTGTGTATAGGTAGAGCTTTATGACACAGTCTGCACTGTGTGTGTGTGTGTGTGTGTGTGTGTGTGTGTGTGTGTGTGTGTGCCTGTGGAAACCCCTCTCTCTATTTTCCATGACATTTTCTGTCTGTCTCTGTTTCTTTCCCTCTCTCTCTTCTTTCCCAGCTATAATAAGTTAAACTTTTTTTCATATTTGCTCAAAACATATCTCAGCATTTGATGAAGAACAACTGAGCAATAATCAGGTGAACAAAAGCAGGGTTGTTGTCTTTTTTCAGCCCAAACAATAATGCTGCGTTCAAGTGAAAGTGGGAAACAGTGATGGGAAAAAAGAAATATACATCCTCTAATGAAGCACTGGAAGTTGACAAGCTCGATTAGCTCTTATGGCTAACAGCCTTTACTGCTTATGTGGGGGTTGTGCATCACCATTTTTCATGAGGCTAAAAACGTAGTAATAATAACTCTCTTTGTATTTCACCTTTTGACTCCTCCCTACACGCTCCTATTTTTACTCTCAGTGCACGACATGTTTCCACAGCTGGGTGGTCCGCAGGTCAGACCTGCTCGGCCTCTCAGTCCGTCTCTACCTGCAGGTCTGAACCCACCAGACCACAACCAGAACCAGACCCGCAGTCAAACACACACAGCTACACTTCAGCTCAGTCTGCGTCCGTCCACATCACAGGTCTTCAGCCTGTTTTCACCGGGGAGATCTTTTGAAAGAGAGAGACTGTAGGCGGACGGCCCCACTCTCTCTCTTCAGTATCTCTATGAGAAAAAAAAAACGGCACAAGAAGCCCAAAAAGAAACCTTAAAAAAAGTTCTATGTTCACATGTGTTTGACTCAAACAGGGTAAAAAGGCTGTGATCACTGCATGGGTGAGAGAAACATCTGACACTGTGTGTTTGTCTTCTCCTGGTGCCATTACATCAGCTGTGTAGGGTTGTGTCGCCCTCTGCTGGTAGGATAATTGTATTACAACTTGAGTGAGTGTTGTTTGCTCCTCTGAGATGTTAAATAAAAGTCTATTCTCTCTGTAAGACTTTAAGATATTGAGTGTTCTCAGGGTGTCAGGACTTTATTTTAAATGTTCATTTTCTTTGAAGAGGAAATATGATAGCCCTTTTTCAAACAGTCCCTTGTGTTTTAATAATGTTGAGCAGGTAGGCCTCCTACTGCACAGGTTCTGCATATTGACCTCATGTCGTCCTGTAAACAAATTGCTCTATCCTTCAGTATGTTGTCTCGTCTCACCTGAAATAAGTAGACTTTTATTTTTGATTTAAGAGCGGAAATCCACTGTGGTCCTCTGAGGAGCTGAGTGAGCACCAACCCGGAGCTTCATCAGTTTTCTGTGTGTGTTTGTGTGCAGGGAAGGACGAGGCTCGGGGTCAGCTGGACAGCGCTCTGCAGGACGTAAATGTGCGTTACGCCGTCCTGGAGGAGACGGAGAAACGTGCCGTGTGCCGAGCTCTGATAGAAGAACGAGCTCGATACTGCGGCTTCGTCAGCATGCTGAAGCCCGTGCTGGTCAGTACAGTGCGTGCGTGCGTGCGTGTGTGTGTGATAGCCTGTCTGACTTTTCTATTCCACGTGTTCAACAACAAGACATTTATCTTATTATATTTAGAAATACAGATCTTCATTCATATCTTTAACACAAAGAGAGGTATGCAGTATGTGCTCAGGCCGTAGTATTGAAACAGACTAAACATTTATGTGTGTGTGTGTGTGTAGGACCATGAGATCAACATGCTGGGCGAGGTGACACACCTGCAGACGATTCTGGAAGATCTGACCAACCTGACAGCCGAGCCCAACAAACTCCCAGCAGCCAGCGAGCAGGTAGCTCCTCTTTAACTCTGATGCAGGAGGATGAAAGGATGTTGTCAAAATGTATTTTTCTTCCATGGGATTTGTTGAAAATGAGTGGTGTGCTGCAGCCAGGAACTTGAAGTGACTGTAAAGTCACCACTTTTTTTAACTTTTTGTCTGTCAGGTGATTTTGGACCTGAAAGGTTCTGACTTCAACTACACCTATCAGACACCTCCAGCGTCTCCTAGTAACACTATGTCCAGGAAGAGCAGCATCAGCAGGTAACACACGCACACACACACACACACACACACACACACACATTTATGTCACTGCAGGTTTACTATATACTAAACTTCCAGCAGCATAATACAATCAATACAATATCTAATTAGTCCTAACTTCAGTTGTGTCGTTTGGTTACCATGGAGACGTATGGGTCACCCTAACTGGTAGATCGTTACGTCCAAACTAGCCAAAATATTGTCGCAGATGAGATGTTTTCACTGAGCAGCAAATCATTCAAAGGCATTTTTAAAATTCAGCTTTCATCACAGCAGCTGTGGTTCAGTGGTAGAGTCGGTCATATCCCACCTTTCCAAACCATCACCATGACAACCGTATTTTACGGAGGACTTTACTTTACTTCTAGGAGCTATTAGGTATAACTGCTGCCTACGTTTGAACGATCTCAGCTGGTGCAGCACCTTATGTGTCTGAGCTAGAACTCTGTCGTGAGTTAGAAGTTGTGTTCAAACTAGGCTACGTTTGAACACAAAGCTGGTGCATTCAGGTACAGCTGTTTTATTTGTTAATTGGAGTGTTTAATGTACGCTCTTGTGTGTTTGTGTAGTAACTACCAGTCAGTGAGACACGTTCCCTCTTTGGACTCCATCAGCTGTGCTGTCGACGGAGTTCACATCCAGGTATCACACTCTCTCTCTCACACACACACACACACACACACACACACACACACACACACACACACACACACACACACACACACAGCCCAAAGACAGAACAGTTTCTGTCTTTTTTTACATAAAAAACAGACTTTTTACTGAGGAAAGCAAATCAATCTGTCAGAAAGTGTCTCATAGACGTTTTCCCCTCAGCAGAAAGACTTTCACTTCTCTGATAGTCATCACATCATCTGTTTGATACATTTATATGATTAGTGTGTTTTTGACTGTTTCAAATGTGATGATTTTGCAAGAAATCTAAAATCTGCATGAAATTGAAATGACACAAGTCCAAATATATTCAGAAGCCACATCAAATTTTTAATTCTTGGACGGATTTAGCACCAAATATTCTGAACACCATTGTTCATCCAACTCAGATTAAACCAGGAAGTGAGTGCACATGTTTTTATTGTTTTTATTATTAGTTGTACCCATCAGAGTGTATTAATGAGACTCACAAACTCACCTGAAATCACCACCTTTTAATCCAGTATAATTCTGTGTTAGCATGTTTTACATATTAAAAGAACATTTCACTCAAATATAACACCTCCACAGCCCCACACACGAGACACTCCTGCAGACCCTCAACCATTAAAATGACACTGTTAGCTTTAAGGACCTTCAAAAAAAAAAAAAAAAAAGAAGTGACGAGGACCACACACACCGCTCTGACCTCTTCCTGTGTGTAGCGCTGCTCCTCCCCCTATCTGCTGATTGGCTGCGACGAAACCGGGCGGTCCCTCAGCGAGGGGAACTCCCCCTCTCGCCTCGGCCGTCAGGGCAGCCGTGGTCGCTATGGTTACGCCGCTGGCCACGGGCCCCGGCCTGCGTTGAGTCGCCGCGTTAGCCGCAGGGACTTGATCACCGTGAGAAAAAAACTATTTTTACATCCCACCCAACCCACCCCCGAGTTCAGTCCTGTGTTTTTATCATGGTGTGAGCGTTTTGTCCTCCATCGGTTCATATGTGACCGACTCCATCTTGCATCGCTCCTCGCAGTTTGAACGTTTATCCCTCATGTTTACGTCTCTGGTTTCATCCACTCCAGATAAACCTCATAAATCTCCAACTCGGCTTACATCCCATGAAGTCATTCAAGAAGTCATTTTGAACCCTCCTCCTTTTACATCAGACTTCTGTACATGTTTGTTTCTGTGCAGTGATGAGGTGTTGTGTTTACATCCTGGTCCTGGTTGTTTCCTGCCCCTTTCAGCATCATTTCCTCTCAATATGTCCTCTGTGTCTCTGACTGGTCTGACGCACTGTGTGGTCCTCAGTCTGTATCTGGATCAAGACTTTAGGGCCTTCTTTCACTTCTGATCATTCTTATTTTTGTTGTCAGTCCGTCCAAATTCCAAGAGTCCTTTAGAGACGACAAAAGGATCTATTACGATCGATCACAAGTAGATTATTCTCACTTCACTCAGGAAGGTAGTCATCCCTTGAGCAGGTGAGGTCGAGGCTGTTGTACATCTTTCCCACTTTAATGTCCTGTGCTTTACAAGTCGGAGAGCAGGCCTTTTGAGTGGAGAAGCTTGCTGTCTCCTGTTTACCTTTATTACTGTAAAACCCCCTGAAGTCGTGCCTCATAAAAGTAGCAGAGAAGAGCATTTAACCCTGATGATTAAAGGGATACTTCACCCGTTGAAACATGAATCTGTTTTGAAATTGGGTCATATATGTAGAAGAAATGTGAAATACATTTTGAAGTTGGTACCTTCTTGACCGAGAAAAGGCAGAAAGTGTCTTTTTGGCTCATGTGGATGAAAGACACCAAATCCCAGAATGCACAGCACCGCAGACCACTCCCACTAAGGTCAGGTTTACAGAAATATTTACTTTACATGTAAGGCCCTTTCCTCAACTGATTCCGAGATTTCTTCCAGAACGAATTGGTATCTTGGAATTTCCCGGCGGCCAGCGGCGGCAACAGCTTCCAGTGACGCAAAATGACGATTTTTGCGTCATCGGAAGCTCCTTTTCAGACTTAAAAATACAAAGATTTCCCATCTCAGGGTAAAATGAGGGCGGGATGCACGACCATTCAAAAATACTACCCGGTTTCTAATGATACAAAGCTTAATGCAAATGGGTGAAGTATCCCTTTAAGGAGCTGGAACCAGGAAATGTGTCCCAGTTTGGCGTTTCTCTTCTCATTCAGTCTTAATCTACAATCTCAGTACGTTTGACCTCCCCTCTGCATGTCATCACCTTCTCCTGCGCTACAGACTCAACCACACCTCATCCCACTGTAACACCTCCACGTATCTCATTTAAATCTGCTGTAACTTCCACGGGTGTTGATATTTCTGTTGATGGCGTCTGGTTGTAGATGTGATGATTGTTGTTCCTTATTTCTGGAAAAATGTGTCATAATCTGAAGCTGCTGATTACGATGCTGCACCAACGCTTCATGTGTGATGGGACCGAACCGGATCCTGTTCTGTGTTTTTTTTTGTTGTTGTTGTTGTTTACTCTGTTGTTTACACGTCTGTTAATTGGATTCTGGTTGTTTTGTATCTGACAGGATGCGGTCGGCTCCACCAATCAGCTCGCTGCTGGAGGGAGCGGAGCAGCGGAGAACGGCTTATTAGCCCCCCCACAGAACGCATACACACACCATGGAGAGAGAGCCCGAACCCTCTCTGCGTCTGGGAAGGTAACACACACACACACACACACACACACACACACACACACACACACACACACACACACACACACACACACACACACACACACACACACACACACACACACACACACACACACACACACACACACACACACAAAGAAGCCACATGTCGGAATCGAGTTAGGGCTGCCCGCCTCTGTACATGGGGCGCGTGAACTAACCACTAGGCCACTGGAGCACCAAAAACTGCCATGCTTTGGATGTAAAATTTAGTAAACATATCACCTCACCGTCCTCCATACCTCTCTCTCCTCATCTCTTCATTTCTCTCTCTCTCTCTCAGTCTTGCTCTGCCCGGGATCAGCTGGCGTTGACGCTGGGTGCGTTGAATTCGGACGCCCAGAGGAGCAGCCGGGACTCTCTGCACTGCTCCAGCGGCTACAGCACTCAAACCACCACCCCATCCTGCTCCGAGGACACCATACACACACACAGTAAGAACACACACACACACACACACACACACACACACACACACAAACATACACACACACACACACACACGAAAGCATTAGTGATGCCCCAGATGTTTATCTTGTCTTTCATTGAAACAGTAAACTGCCGATGTTTCTGTCCAATGAGACTGAACTGAGGTGAACTCACATAAAACCAACACAATTATTCTCCAAATATCAAGTCTGTAAATATCAAAGCATCGCTGGTTTTCATGCCGCTGCAAGAATTTATGGGAAAAATCAACAGAAACAAGTTTTAAAAAAAGAGAGATGAGAAACAAACACACCCTCCAGCAGGGAGCTTAAACACGAGTCAAACATCTGTATTATGACTCACTCTCTCAGCTGTTCCTTCTGGTTTCTGTCTGGATTAAACTGATTTTATTCACCTGTCTGCTCTCTTACATCTTCTCTGGTTTCTTCTGTGTTTCTTTGTTATACTGGTGAACTCTCTCCTCTCTCTCTGCTTTTCTGCTGTGGATTTCAGTAGCCTGTTTGTGTGTTTTCTCGGCTAAACTTCCTCCCTTCTCTTCCAGCTGTGAGGAGAGATCCTCCAATCTATGGTAGGTCTCTCTCTGTCCATCCGCTTGTCTGCCTGTCTACATGTCTGCCTGCCCGTCCGTCCGTCTGTCTGTTTTACACACACATGGACTCCTGACATTTTATAAATAACTTCAGGACATTCAGGTCCTAATATCATCTGAAATTACCTTGTGCACGTGCACCTCAAAGAGGGAGATTATCTGTCCCGGTGTAGGTACCAGATGTGCCCGGGTGGTCACATCAGCTTCTCCTTCGCCTGCGCCTGTATGATGATGTCGCACATTGTGATTGGCTGTCAGAGAGTCTCCTCATGAAAGAGGAAGAACTCAAAAACAAAGCGTACAAACTAACCTTTAACATCCCACGGTTGATGAAAGTCCCTGTCTGAATTGAATGTTTGTAATGACGCCCCCTACTGGTAAGAGACAGTACGCCTCCTGTAGCATGTTTCACTCAATTACACCGCTCTTGTATTTCCTGGTAAAAATTCTCCTTAGATTTATTATTTATTTATTTTATTTATTTGCTTATTTTGTCAGGGGCAGTGTACAGCCAGTTAGCTTTACCAGAGTTAGCTATAAGCTAATTTACATCTGTAGTCCCTGGGCAGGAGACAGAAACAGCGTCTCCATAGATCCATCTGTGAACTCTCCGACAAACAGCCAATCACAAAGCGCTACATCATCATATGTACCTTCAGTCGATCATGTTGTGTATCGTCCATGAGTCATTGATGTTTCTGTGTCCCTGCTGTCAGACGAGGAGATTCAAACTTTGAATTAAATGTCATCAAGATAATCCGGCTGAATGCAGATCTTATTCCTCTCGCTCTCTCTCTCTCTCTCTCTCTCTCTCTCTCTCTCTCTCTCTCTCTCTCTCCTCTCTCTCTCTCTCTCTCTCTCTCTCTCTCTCTCTCTCTCTCTCTCTCTCTCTCCCTCTCTCTCTCCTTCCAGTCGACTACGAGTCCATCTCTCTGCACGGAGACGTCGACTCCATCTCCTTACATCACCTCTCCCATGGAAACAGCCAATCAGACTTCGACAAATCCTCCACCATCCCCAGGAACTCTGACCTCAGCTTCCAGTACAGGAAGTTCGCTCACTCGAAGCGCCCCGCCTCCACCGTCAGCCTATTGGCCGAGCCGGAGAAGATGGGCGGGTCCGTTCGCCAGCTGCCGTCGTCGTCGCACACGGCGACCATCAGGCGCAAGCCGTCGTCCAAACCGGCGTACCGCAGAGGGACGATCAGCGGAGGAGTTCCCATCCCCATCTCCACGCCGCAGGTTCCCCTCAAAGCTCTCGGAGGGAACGGTGGCAGTGATGAACACGTCTTCTTAGCACCCCCTGCTGGAGGAGCCGGAGGTTTAGGTTACAGTAAACTCTGCACCTCCACACAGAGCCTCAGTGCTTTACCGCCCCCCTCACCGTACTACCAGCTGGTCCCAGGCCAGATGCCCATCCCGGTGCCGGTGCCCACTGTACCCTCCCTGCCACCAGAGGACAGCAACGCCAAGCAGCAGCAACAGAGACAGTACCAGCAACAACAGGCACAGTACCAGCAGCAACTACAGGCACAGTACCAGCAGCAGCAGCAACAACAACAACAACAACAACAACAACAGCAGCAACTACAGGAAAAGTACCAGCAGCACCAGCAGCAACAGCAACAGCAACAGCAACAGCAACTACAGGCGCAGTACCAGCAGCAACAAATCAAACAACAATTAAATCATCAACAACAACGTGGTCAGATCCAGGAGCAAATTCAGATTCAGCAGCAACCGCAGCAGCAATATCAACATCAGCAACAAGTTCAACAACAGCAGCAACCATTGCAACATCTGCATTACCAACAGGACCCGTATCAGCAGCAGCAGAAACAGAAGGTCTTCCAGCAGCAGCACCAGGTGGACTTCCCCGCCCCCGTCTCCCAGGGAGAGCCCCCCGGTCTGGGCCACCACAGCGCTCACTACCAGCCCCATCTCCCTCCACCCTCCAGCCACGAGCAGGAGCCGGAGCAGGTGATCCAAGATGGAGGAGGAGGAGGAGGAGACATGCTGAGCAAGATCAGAGGAGTGCGGCTGAAAAGGACCCTCACTAACGATCGCTCATTCCCCCTCCTGCCCCCGCCGACCAATCATAAATGAGGCTGAATTCTGTTTTGTTTTTTTTCCTGCTTCCTGCTGGACTCTGTAATGACTTTCTGTTATAGACGAACTATTGACAGATTATCGCTGGAACTCGACGTGTGTCTTATTTTTATTTCTAAACTTCTGCTTCCTTTTAGAGATTGTTTGAAACGTTTTCAGACTGCATCGTCTCTAGTTTCTGCAGCGACCATCTTTTTGCCTTTTTTTTTTTGTTCATGTTTTCTTTTTGCTTGTGCATAAAGTTTCCCGTCTGACCCAGGCTTCCTAGAACTGTTTTAGTTAGAGATCATTTATTCGACACGCAGGACGCTTTTTTTTGTGTCTCAGATCCTCTTCAGTCCCGGGCGTGTTTGATTTACCTTCATCTAGACTCCCCGACGGGTGGGGTTTAGAAGTAATCCAGTGCAGTAGATCCACTCTGTCGCATGGTTGAACCATGTGGTGTGTTTGAAGGCTGCGGGTCCGTGTCGGTCTGGTCGTCTCAGAGAGTCAAAAATAAACGGACACTTTGAATTTACTGGATGTAAATGTTGACTCAGTCATAGATTGTATAAATGTTAGAACAAAAAACTTTGGGAGCAGCTTTGGGGGGGGGTTAAACATTTTTGCTTCATGACATTTTTCTTTGATACCTGAACTGAAGATTTTGATTCTCTCTCATGTGATTTCCTGACATGTCCTCTCCTCTGGGATGCCAAATTATGCCGGCTGCTTTTTGCGCAAAAATGTTTCAAATGTTACTGAGTGTGAATGTTCGGCTCGCTGTGTTTAATAATCATCTGAGAGAGGAGATGAAGACTGTTTGCATCTTTTAGAGGCAACATGTTGTCAACGATGCACGAAGCACTATCGCTGAGAACAAAGCGGGCTGAGACGCAGAATCACAAAGACTGTGACTGTGATAAAGGGGGGCTGGTCAAACATGCAGGAGGCGTTCAGGCGTGTGAGGATTTGTGGGATTTTGTAAAAGTACACACCATACAAATATGACGACTCTGCGACTGCAACCTAAGAAAATATATTTTTTAATCTCAATAATTTATTTCCTAGAGCCTGAGTCATCAAACATTTTTGAGACTGATCAGACCAATTCATATATTTTATGCAAACACGTTTGAAAAGTCTGAGATCTGTTCTGAACATGTTTTCATTATTTAGCTTCTCTAGTCTTAGAAACATAAACATGCAAATAGTTAAATTAGAGAATTTATCCGAGGAGTTACTTTCTACGGCCGCCTTAAGCCGACATGCATCGATACATTTTATGGAACTGTTTCCTTGAGTTAACATACCGTACGGCCTGAAATATAAGTCTCACCGGTGTATAAGACGAAGTCTGATTTTGGAGGGAAAAAAGGTTAAACTGTCGTCCTGTGGTGAGGATTTCAGCAAAGTCTAAAATGTTCAGTTTGTGTGCAGCTCTGTCGCTCTGTATGTACGCTTTGTTTTCTCTTTGTGGAGTGTTCTCTCCTATTAGCTGCAGTACGATAGTCGAGCTGTCAGCCTGCGGTGAAAGTTTTCAATCAGTCTTTCAATCGCTCCTCCAAAATGGCTGTGCTTAACGCCTTTGCTTTCCCAAAACTCTGCTGTCTCCATCGAAAGGAAAAAAATAACTCTTCTGTGTGTTTCTGTTTCCATAGCAACAGGATCTGCTTTGTTAAATAAAGAAACCAGATTCTTGAGTTGAACTTTTTTTTAATTTAGCTCCGCTCACCAAAGAAGGACTGAACTTTGAACTTTAAGCGTTTGAACCACAAACGTTTCTGCAGATGAGGGTTTTTTTTTTTTTGCTTGTTTGTTTTTTGTTTCATAAATTAGCTGCTTGAACTTTATTTATCTGCAGAGTTTGGGCTTGAGCTCCAGTAGCTGGTTCTACTTCGGATGCTCCCCAAAAGTTGTAAAATATTTAGATCTGTTAGTTGGTTCAAACTTCTCTTCTGTTGGATTTCCTCTGTGATCTTGTTTTTCTACGTCCGCTGTTTTTTGTTTTGTTTTGGCTTTGTTCACATCTGCAGAAACGTGACAACAATCAGATCACAGATGGTTATAAGTTAAGACTTAACCTCGCTCTTTTCCCCTTACCAAACACAATCATCTAACGTCCTGTGAGTCTAAATAAGAATGAGAACAGACACACATTTGGTAAATGCAGCATTGCCTCTAAAAGTTGCCTCTCGAGCGACAACTTTGTACGATGGTGGAACGCAGGGACGGAGCTATTTTTGAGAAACAGGGTCCTTCTCTTATTTTAACCTCAAAGTTTCTGGAAACTTCGGGGTTGAAATAAGAAGGACAGTTTTAAGAAGAAGAATTAAGAAGAAGGAAAATTAACCAGAGCTGCAAAGAAGGATCATTTTTAAGGATGCATGATAGCCGATATTTTTGCAGATATTTCCCAATGTATTAGACGATGCATAAGAAGTGGGCGTGGATAAAATTATGTCATCGGTTAGTTTGTAAACAACAATTAAAAGTTTGGCTTCTCGCTTGCTGCCATCTTGTTTTTTTTTTGGAGCCAGAAGTGACCATATTTAGACATGAGTGGAGACTTCAGTTACTCTTTCTATTCCCGTTGACGAGATGCAATAAGACTTCCGTAAAGTATCACCTCCTTTATTGTCCGTTCGACTCTGAATGGGTTCAAAGAAATAAACATCAAGCTGTCTTTAAGAAGACTCAAAACTAGAGATTGAGACCATAAACTCATGAAGACAATATTATTTAAACTTCAGATTCATAGAGAATGAGCTTATTTTCTCATATACTTCTACAGAGTCGCCCCCTGCTGGCCATTAACTTCATGTTTGAGACCAAAAGGCTATGTCCACTTGTTCAATACTGCCAGCAAAGTCTTGCTGGCGGAGGCTTCGTGCAAATATGTGTGCTCGTTTTTTTTTTTTTTTTACATAACTGCTGAGACAATCAAATGTCTTGTCTTTTTTTGTGTGCAAAAAAAAGTTTAAACTCCAAAAATATTCTAGAAGTCTAAAATACTTTCCCGTCTTGTTCCAGCTTTACATTTGAAAGTCTCATTCTGATTCATTGTTTTTAACCGTATATTTTCTGATGGGACATTTAATGCCAGGAACCAAACTTTAAAGTCGCAGTAATTTACCGTTTTTTCTCCTGAATTTCAAACCTCAAGCTTTAGAAAAGATTTCAGTTTTTGTAAAATGATCAAATATTTGAACACAGTTTGGCTCTTTAAACATTTCCCCCGATGTGTGTTTGAGGCTACGCTCAGGATGCCCCGTGTTACTCAAACCCTGGCTATGGCCCAGACTGTAAGCAGAGACCAGCTGCATGCTGGGAAATGCGGTTCAGTCTCTGTTCAGCGTCTGCTCTGTTTTTAGAGAATCTTTTATTTTATTTTCCTGACTCGTGTTGATATTGTCGACTGTAAACAAAGAAATGTTGTTTTCTGCTCAGCTTCTGATGCTCCGTTGAATATTTGATTGATTGATTAGTGGCTGATTGATCGGACCCAATGAGCCCCGCAGCAGCTGTGTGTGTATATATTAGTGCTTCTTTTCCTGGGAGAGATCTAAATCTATCTATAAAAATGTATGTATACATATCCTGATTGTATTTTTGTTGATCTATCAATCAGACGATGTGATGGGACTGGACGCCGCAGCCGCTGGTCGTCACTCGTCGTTTTTTTTGTAGAAAAGCTTTAAAGGAGACCCGGTGAACTTCCTGATGTTTGAGGAGCTAAAATCTGATTGGTCGTCTGACCGCCGAGTAGCGAACAAAACACTCGGCAGACGTAGGGCCGACTTGAAGCAGCCGAATGTAGAAATGTTTTGTTGTTCTTCTCTTGCTGTTCGCTGTGGGATCAATAATAATAATGACGACTGATTCATCCACTCTGCTGGTGCTCTCTTCTTTTTGTGTCCTGTCATCACTACACACCTGAACTGTTCATATCTCATCTTTAATTTTTTAAGGTTTTTTCTGCAGGATATTGAATTAAAAATGTTCTCTTGAATAACAATTCTAAGCGAGAAATGAAATTGTAACATGCACATCAAAATGCAGAGGAGTCCCTAAGAAGATATGGGAAGAATACAAATTAAAATTGAGTTTCCCGCCCACAGAAAACTGTCCCAGGAGCTCGAGAGGGTGTCGCATGCGCACATGATAATGTTTCTGTGCTCATGAGAAAATGTTGCTTGCCCACGATTACATTTCTTGCAATCACTTGAAAAGATTCTGTGTGCATCAAGCGACAACCTCCGCTCTTTTTAAAAATTTAAAACTTTAAAAAAAATTAAGCCAATGAGAAAGTGCCAAATCCTGCAGTTCTTTGAGTGTCCACTAGAGGCTGGCTCCAGGAATACCGGAAGTCACATACTCACCACATTAAAAAAAAAGCCTGTTTTTACAGCATAAATAAACACATTTACAACCTGGTAAAAAAAACATGAAATAGGTCTGATTAGTTGTTATCATCACTGGCACACACTGTACGGGGGGGTGAATAATAAAAAAAAAAACGGCTCTTTTGATTTTGAAAACGATACCTGTTTTCCATATTTAGTTCATTCATCTCCAGCTCTCGACACAGGTTCAGGAAAGCCCCTTGAGCATGCCGCTGTAGTCTCCATGCTTTCACCCATAAGTGCGTTTTCTCCTTATTTGTCTCCTCCGCTCTTCTTTTCTTTTTCCACTAAAAGACCAAGAGCTGACAACACCAGCGCCATTTTCAACTTTTTATCAGACATTATTCTCCATTAGTAGACTACCTATAATACGAATGGTGAGCGACAGCCGTGTGAACGTGGTCTTCTCGTATCATAACAACGGACTACCGCCACCTGCTGGCATGAAGAGTTATTTCCTCATGCATGAGCAGAACCTACGTGGTGGTTGTCCGTCGGCTGTAGTCTTTGTGGTGTGTTCAAGTGCAACTTTTTGGCCAAGACGTGAGGCAACGCCACAGTCGGCCTTCATCTCCACTAGTTCTTTTCCGTCTGCTTGATGTGTCAGGGCCTTCACTCCTCTGTCCTATCCAGCAGCCTGTATGATAATCGTTCCAGGACAAGCAGCCAGCTGGCCACGAGAACGCTGCTTTCCATTCCTTAACAAGAGGCTTCCCTCTCTACCATGAGGACAGTCTGGCTCCAGTCTGCAAGGGGAGGAGTCAAGTAACTTAAAGCGGAGGGGTCACCCAAGATAAACAGAAGCAGGTGTGAAGGGGATATCCCGCCCCATAATTTGTCCAACAATCATACGTATCACAGACCAACACTCATGAGTACCGTCTTTGTTGAGACGCCTCCAGCACGTCAGGCCATCAATCCAGCTTTGTTTTTAATGTAGACGCAAACATCAATGAACGTCCTTCAACCTGTTTTAATACGCAGATCCATTACCAACTTTCTTCATCTACAAAATATGAATATGTCACTTATATATTTTACAAGTCTTGAAGGAAGAGTGTGTGACTTTTTGATCCAGTAGATGTCGTCCTTGAGCACCAGCATGAAACCAAAACAAACTGCTGTTTGTCCATACTCCATACTTTTTATTTTTATTTAGCCTTTATTTAACCAGGTTGGTCCCATTGAGATTAAAAACCTCTTTTTCAAGGGAGACCTGGCCAAGACAGGCAGCAGCAAAAACACAAAGTTACAGACGGAAATACAGAGAGACACACCTCCAACCCCCTTCCACTCGAGTTCGCAGGAAGGACTTGAGCGTTGTTCTTGGCTCAAGCTGTAATCACCTGTGTCCTGCATTGTTGTGTTAGCATGCTAATGTTAGCGCTCTTTAGTTAGCTTGTTGCATGTAAATTGACACAGAACGACGTGATCTAAAAACTCTTACCAACATCCAAATAATCGGTGAGTATGTTCTTCTTTTTCTCTCTAGTCCTTGACTAAAACAGCTTTTATACACAAGGGGAGGAGCCGGGAGGTCCATGTAAACACGACTCTGACAACAACACAGCCAGCGGGACTCGAGCTTCTCACTCATTGTAGACAGTCAGACTCAGAGAGACATTTACACAGGATAGACTGGATTTCTGATATATTTATGTATAACATGTTGCACATTTCTTCCTTTAAAGCAATATAACATCACTCACTGTGGGTATTTAGACAAACCCCAAACTGAAGAAACAACTAAGAAAAAGTATTTCTCTTATTAAATGATCTGCACACCTCGCTCTGTTGATGCATTCATTAACAGTTTTGTCTAAATGTTATTACTAGAAAAACTGAACTTCTTCACCTTACAGGACAGGAGCCTCTCTGTTCCCCTGACTCACACTCTGGAGTTAAACATCCTCAGTGATTACCCACAATCCTTGGGGTGCAATTTAGCCGAGGTTGGGGCGCACACCAGGCGCACACACAAACACAGACACACACATGAACACTAAACTCTCCAGGCGTCATTATGAATGTACTCAATGAAAGCCTCTGTGTGTCTCTGTGAGCTATGATTTGATCTCTCTGTCATCATGTGTTGTCAGCTCAGCGTCGTCTCTGAGTTATTCCCCATGTGAGCAACACATGCTGCTGCCCGCAGACACACACACACACAAACACACACACCAAACACACACATATGTATGAACTCGCTGACCCTCATAGTAGAGTTTGGATTTTGGGGTGGCTCACGGATTAGCGCTCCGTTAAACAGAACACTCTTTCTAGTTCAGTATTTTCTGCTTCCAGGAATTAGCCACAACCCAACATGCTGATCTGAGTCTGTAAAACAAAACAACCTCATCTACTATCCCCGTCTTAACATTGCTTTTAATTTTATACTCATCTGGTTTTTGAAATTTAAAACATCTTTCTTCATGCAGACTTAAAACATTTTTGTTTACAATCCTGCATACACACATTTTAAAGCCTCGGAAGATGACCTCTGCCCGCTGCCAAAGTTTCATAGTGCTGTAAACAGAGAATCAGAGCACTCTGTGGACATGAGAGAGACGCCATTCTCCCTGTTATTGTGTTATTGTGCAATTTAATCGACCTTTGAAACTGTTTATAGGTGGAGGAGTTGCATATTGTTGCTTTAAGGTCGCAGTGAACCGATCTAATATCAACAGAGTCAAAAGGAGTGACTCATCTCTCCTTTTGATCCTTGAAATAACACTCTTCATTATTCAGCCTCCCCTTTCTCTCTCTTTCCTTTCTTTTCATCACCTGCTGTGTGCGTGAGTCACCTGAGGGGCAACAGGTGGAGGGCGAGAGACTTGGATTACTCACTCTCACACACACACACACACACACACACACACACACACACACACACACAGTCCTCTGGTAAATCTGATGTTGTTGTGCTGAGATCATTCAGGTCTGTAGAGTCAGATTTACTTTGAACAGAGAGAGAGAGTGAGACAGGTGGGTCGGTCCTCATCTCAGATGCTTAGTCATTGTTACATAACACGCACACACACACGCGCGCGCACACAGATGCCCTCCGAGCGGGAAGTCAGACTGACCCACATACCGCAGGAGATAAACGATCCGTCGGTCTCAGCGGCCGGTGACTCAGAGCTCACGTCACAGTGACTCTGCACAAATGTGTGTGTCAGAACACTGTGTTGCACCAGTGTTGCACCAGCTGCAGTTCCTCTCAGCGCCAGCAGAGGGCGCACACGACCGCGCCAGAGGAAAAGTCAATGACGGTGTCTGCTGACCTCCCAGCTGATGCAGCTTTTCGGTTCAAACAAAAAATAATAGGGAAAAGATTCATTTAAATGTTTATCTTTTTGTTAATGCTGAATTTAAGTGAGTATGCCTGTGGAGCTAGAGACTGTAGCCTGTATAAAAAGTGTATATAGTCTCAGGTTGAAAGGTTTAGGCACACATGAGTGCCTGAAACCAGCTTTGTAGCCGGCAGGAAATTATTTCACTGGTGGAAAAAGAAAATGTGAATCTTCTTCTCTGGATTTGTTACAGTTCAGTAAACTTTTCTCCAATGAGTCTACAGTCAGTCTCTGGTTTCATCCTTGTGATGTCACCACGTCGTCATTACCTGATTGGTCACCCCACAGCTGAGCGTCTTTATAAGAACACACACACACAAGGTACAGGTCCTATTGGTTATTACACACAGAACCATAAGCACATGCTACCACATACATTTCTTTCACACTCCCAAAAAAACTCCAGAGAAACTCCCAAAAGACCCAGAAGTTTTCGGGGGTGAGCTGCATGTGTGAACGCAAACAGCCACATTTTTTCACTCTTGACTTTACCCGGCCCACTAGTATTGCCTCTGCAGAAAGTGAGAGTGAGCTGACGTGAGAACGCAGCAGGATATAATCAGGAGAATTCCGATCGAGTTAGTGGGCAGGGGGTGGTGACTTTTATTCCCTGTGATCGGAGCACGAGTACAGACTGTAAGAGGCACAAAATGTATTTTGAGCTTCACACTATTTCACTGCTTGAACCTCAGCTGACTGGGCTGCAAACCCTGAGAAGAAGATGAGAGGTCTGAAAGAGGAGGGGGCCTAGATACATGCCCTCATCAGACTCAGGGCTCACCAGCTCGTTCCATCACAGATTGGATTGTTAGCAGAGCAAAGGTCTTGTTTGGCTGATGGAATCTGGTTTATGACGGTAAATCAGACACCCAAAAGTCCGCCCCTTTTATGACTTGTTGTACAAGAGGAGAGAGACGATAAGATTAACCTTTGGACTACTGTTGAGAAAAGAAGACGGCAGCAGTGCACTGATACCAGACAACTAACACCTACAAAGTTTGAGGAAAATAAGTAATCTGCAGAGATCTGTTCAGAGGAGAGAGGTTTTTACGTTCTGTCGGGATCGTTTTTTCTGCGTTTTAAAGCGAAGATGGCTTCCATGCCAGAAGAGGACCTCACCTGTCCATCTGCC